ACTCTGCTGAAGGTGTCCTCTGGTCTCGGTGACTTGTGTCATGTCAATCAGTCTGATGTTTTTTTATCCTGGTGGGGAGCTTTCAGTCCCTTCTGGGTTATCAGAGCTCTGCTTTCACAGTCAGGAACCAATAACTAGCGATCGATCGATGGATCGATGGATCGATTACTCACTCAGTCACTCACTCAGTCAGTCAGTCAGTCAGTCACTCAGTCACTCACTCACTCAGTGCATCAGTCAGTGCATCAGTCAGTCAGTCAGTCAGTCAGTCAGTCAGTCAGTCAGTCACTCACTCACTCACTCACTCACTCACTCACTCACTCACTCACTCACTCACTCACGCACTCACGCACTCACGCACTCACTCACTCACTCAGTACATCAGTCAGTCAGTCAGTCAGTCAGTCAGTCACTCACTCACTCACTCACTCACTCACTCACTCACTCACTCACTCACTCACTCACTCACTCACTCACTCACTCAGTACATCAGTCAGTCAGTCAGTCAGTCAGTCAGTCACTCACTCACTCACTCACTCACTCACTCACTCAGTACACCAGTCACTCACTACTTCAGTCACTCACTGCATCAGTCAGTCACTCAGTCACTCAATCAATCAGTTGTTCAGTCAATCAATGAATCAGTCAGAAAAGGGGAACATGTCTGGATCCCGAGGTATTGCCTGTCCCAGACTCGGGGCAGATTGTTCAAACGCTGATGATCAATTTGCATCGTGTACTTGTGAATGGAAGATGTCAGAAGGACCATCCATTGCCTGTGCTTATGGCTGTGATCGCATGGGAGGTCTGGGGGGTCCGAATTCAAGCTCCTCTTCACTTTAATCTCTTTCTGCGCCTGTGTGAATGGTGGGGGGTGGTGGAGGGTGGAGGTGTTTGTATGTATGTGTGTGTGTGTCACTCTCTATCCTTGCCCCCCCACCCCCTCTCTATCCTTGCCCCCCCCTCTCTATCCTTGCCCCCCCACCCTCTCTATCCTTGCCCCCCTCTCTGGTAGAATAGGAGTTGACTGCCTACATTCAGGACTTTTTGCTGCGGCTCGTGGTTTCTTGTTGGTCCTCATATATATTTGTCCATTCCAAATGTTTTTAAGAAACCGAGTCTAGAAAGAATGGGGTTTTTTTTCAAACTGGGAGTTCAGAGCGGTTATCCGCAGAATCGTCTCACACCTGATTGCAAATCGTGCAACAAATTCAGTGGGTCCAAACATAATTTGTGTTTCTGGCTGTTTCCGTGTGATTCCCTATTTTCTTATATAAAAAAATCCAACACTAAATACTGAAACAGAGGGGTAAAACACTAAAGCCATCCCCAGCCAACATCAATAGGAACCCTGAGTATAACCATTTAAACTGTGTCAGGAGACCAAAACCAGAGGAATAGTTGGTAAAGCTCCACTCGTTTATCCAATGACTCAAAGCTCACCTCTGATCCTTTTTTGATGCAGTTCATGTAGACATATTTTTTTTACATGTTTATCAGAAAAGTGTAAATGTGCCCGCTGCTTAGTTTTCATTTTTTTTAACATCCGACGGACAATGTTTACAAAATGATTGAGTTGCTGTCTTGGCTTTAAGGTATGATTTTAAAGTCTATTCTTTCATCACTTTGTTTCTCTCTCCATTTCCCTTGGTATCACCTTTCCTCTTTGCTTTCTGTCCGCCTGGATCTCCTTCACGTAATTGTTGAAGTGCCAAGTTCAGATTTTGCCTGAATTGACACTATCTTCCCAACCATTTCTGATGTAGACAGGCCTGAGGGCAACAGTGGAGGGAAATGGCAGTGCCTAAGTTTGTAGGATAACAGTGAGATTGGGGATAACATTATGTTTGGGATTGCAGGCAGGCAACAATTCACTTTACAGTATATTCTGTGAAGCGCTTTGGGACGTCTAGAAGACGTGAAAAGCGCTATATCAAATGCAAGGATTATTATTATTATTATTAATGTGGTGCAGGGAGCAGCACTTCAGTGAACCAAACAGGGTCACCACTTGTCCCCCCCTTACTGGAGATCTGATGCCTCCTTAGGTCTATGGTTTACACTCAGTCAGAGCACACTGAGGCTTCATGATAGACTGACACCGTGATTAAAAAAAAATTCTCCTTTACTTGACCTACTCCATCAAAACCCCAAGTCATATTAGGACTAGGTTCCCTCATCAGTCACCAGAGATTTAAACAGTGATTAGTAAAGTTAATGTCATGTAAATGGAACACTATATGTTTATATATGTATAATATATATTCAGTTTGAGAATCTAGGTGAAGGCCTCATGTTCACCGTGTAGTGCATTACCAAGGTTGAAAAGAGTCCAAGAGAACAGCAGGAGATAATATTTTATCTGGTATATTTTTTGATCAGATACTTTTTTCTTGTCTCTGTTCTCTCTCTGGGATCTATGTGTATTTACTATACAGTCCACCCTGGATATTTATATTCACATTGCCAGCCCTGTGAGCCCAGACAAATTGTAGCACCCCTATTGATTCCTGAGGAGACTCAACCAATTCAACACAGATTGAGGATTGAACCTGGGAACTTCCAAATTTAAATGAGACAGTTTCACACAGGCCAGTCACTTTATCAGCTGAGTTTTCAGTATAATATCACTTCCCCTTCTGTGAAGACATTGGGCGAGTCTCTGGTATCACATAGTCTGTGATCAGACATAAACTTTTTAAAACTTTCATGCCACGAGACTCAAATCACTTTGTTTATCTGTTAGGAATTAATTGGCGAATGCTTATCATGTTTTGTATTATATAGTGTGTATGTATGTACATGTGGTCCTGTAGCTTAGTAGTTAGGGCACTCGCCTGACAAGCAAGAGACCTGGGTTCCCAGGCCGGGAGAAACGTTGGGAAAATTTCCTTACTCCACATACCTCTAGCAGTAAGTAGGAACCCAGTTGTTAGTTGATTGGCGGATCGCTTTTCCAGAAGTAATAATTCTTCAAAAAAACAATAAGTTGGTCAGTCAGTCCACGACTGTTTGTGGGACGCTGCAGTGTGCAATTGGCTGTCGGGTTTCTTCCACAAAATATACAGTCAATTCACTTTACAGTATATTCTGTGAGGCGCTTTGAGATGTCGCGAAGACGCGATAAGTTGCTATATCAAATGTAAGGATTATTATTAGTATGTATGTAGCTTTTTTTTAAAAAAGTGTGAGACTGAATGTTTGTCCCTCTCCCTTACCTTTGCTACCATTGCAGCTACTTCCACTTGGTTCCTGTTGATGTTCCAGGAGCTCTTCTCCATTTTACTGTCTCTCATCTATAACATCTTGCTGTGTTAGACACGCAAGAGCAGAAGCGAAAAATATATCTTAAAAATTTAAAAATGTTAAAAAAAGGGAAGACAGGAGGAAAAGGATTGTTTTTGTGCTTAAAATACTGTAGTTATCCGGGAAGAGGATAATGAATATGGTATAACAAAGGCTTTACTGCCTGAAAATACGTTTTTAAAGTTCGGTGAGAACATTTTACAATTTCAACAATGCAATTTCAACAGCTTGCGCTTACAGCACATGTGCTAAGAAACATTGAAACAGGAGAACTAAATTGAAAGGAAGTAACTAAAAAAAATGGGGGACTTATAAGGCAAAGCACAGCAAGTATATTTGTGCCTTATTTAAGATATTCCAGGGAAAACATTTTATGACAACCGTGACGTGGCTGTTTATTGCTATACCCATCTTCCAGATATTTTGTCTGTGCTATTAGTTGATGGAAGCCAAAAAAAAAGGCAAAGAACCAGATCTCATTGAGTCTGAAATTCACGTACTGTACTGCTCATTTTCCTTCCCACCTTCCCGTTATCAGTTGTCAAGCCTCTACGTATTATGCCTCCACTCTCTGAAACTTCCTTATTCTTGTTCCATCTCTCTCTGCTTTCAAAACCCTGTTACAAACAGTTCAGGGTCTTGTAGCTTAGCGTTCAGAGCACTCGCCTCGCAAGCGAGAGGACCTGGGTTCGATTCCCTGCACGGCGAAACGTTTCGCAAGTTTCTTTACTCCACGCGCCTCTGTTTACCTCGCAGTAAGTAGGAATCGGCTATTAGTTGATTGACGGATTGCTTTTCTGGGAGTAATAATCCCTTCAAAAAAAAAAAAATTTGGTCACTCAATCTACCACCCTTTGTGGGACACTGCATTTCACCCACAAAACGTACAGTCAATTCACTTTATAGTATATGCTGTGAAGTGCTTTGAGATGTCTCGAAGAAGCGATAAAGGGCTATATCAAATGCAAGGATTAGTATTATCTATTTGACCGTACACATTCAAAAATTCTCCTTCCTCTCCTCTCTGCTCAGTGAGAGAAGGAGTTTCTCCCTGTATTCTGGCCAACAATCCCCCAAATAAAATCGGTCATTCACGTCACGGCTGTTTGTGGGCAAATTGGCTGACGAGTTCACATACAAACACACAGTCACTACACTTCTCAGGAAAAAATCTTAACGACGTGATAAGGTGCTATATCAAATGCAAGGATCATTATAACATCAGGAAATAAAATAAAACATGTTGCGAAATGAAACATAACATCCTCTATTGCCTGAAGTATAAAACATAACCGGATAAATATTTTAAACACAAAATTCATCTTTTTCCTCAGTTATCTCCTCCATGCTGGATTCAGCCAATTAGCAAGTAATTGACTAGTGATGTGATTAGCGATGTTACCGCTGCAGAAATAAGAAAAGTCAAACACAGAACTCTTCCTCCTCCCCTACACCGGCTCATTCCGTTCCTATTGATAGCCAAAGAAAGAAAAACATGTCCCTGAGGTTTTACCACTTTGAAAATAATTAAGGCCACTTTTAGAGAGTAAACGTGAGTTTGTAAATCCAAAATGCAGTATAATCATCTCACTATATTTATCCGATGAGCCCCTTTCTATGAATTTGTTGTTTCGGTGTTGTAATCACAGTTTACATCATGCAACTCTCTTTTCCCCTCTATCCTGTTTTAAAAGGTATTATGAGACTGGAAGTATTAAGCCGGGAGTCATTGGAGGATCCAAACCAAAGGTCGCTACACCCAAAGTGGTAGATAAAATTGCCGACTACAAACGTCAAAATCCCACCATGTTTGCCTGGGAGATCCGAGATAGACTGTTGGCAGAACGAGTGTGTGACAACGATACTGTACCTAGTGTCAGTTCTATTAACAGGTATTGGCCCGTAGGGGGTGCACTACACAACACTAACCTGCACTGTGACCTTCAGTCTGTGGACAAGCAGCAGCTTAATTTTGTTGTTATGGTTTGTAAAGGACTTGCTTTACAGCCGCCGACCCTCGGAAGGACAGACAAAACGAGATCATCCGGATAAACGCTAACGCTCTCGCTTTTGAAACAGAAATCCCCCCCCCCCCCCACCCACCCCCGCCCACCTGCTATGCAAACGCGGTAACCCCCCCACCGTACCGCACGCACGCCACGTCCTCTGAGCCAAATCGGCAGTGATAATTACGGTGCAAGAAGGCTCCCGCATTTTGACCTCCTCTGATCAGAAGGAAGGCGATGCAAAAGCTGGAGGTTGCCAAGAAAAGTGAAACCCCGCGGGGGTTTCACTGAAAGAAAATTCTAAAGGGCGAAAATCTAAGAGAAGTACGGTTCATGTGTTACTTGCGTGAGTCTGACCCATTACTCACAACAACAACAACAACAACTTGCATTTATATAGCGCCCTTCGAGTGGGGTAGTGTTCCGGAGAGCTTGATACGTTACACGGGGACAAACAAAGAAAATTGCACAGTTAAATTCTTCTGTCGCAAATACTTTTATGAAGCTGTACAACCCTAATCGCCAAAAGCTGACTCACAAACAACACAGGAGCCACTTTGCTTAGAACCGCTCTTCAGTATTTTTTTTTTCGTCCTTGTTTTTCCTTCGTATCTTCATGCCATCTTTACTTTGAAATCATACTCAATTGAATTTAAAGGAGGTTTAAATTTCGCAAAATTATAAATTCAAAAAAAAAACACGTCCAAGGAAAAATATTGCCCTCAATTTGGAGCTAAATGCTGTGTCGGTGGCTCACTGCACCAGCTGGTGTAAAACGCACACCCCTGGGCTGACGCCAGATTTAGTAGTAAAACATTCTTGTTATTTTTGGCTTTTGTTAAGGTATTTTTGTAATATTTAGTGACTCTCAGCAAGGACTAAAAGTAAAAGGCCAAGGAACCAGTTAGGTTGGGAACTATGGACGTCAATGTCATTGACGATAATAATAATAATTATCCTCGCATTTGATATAAAGCCTCATCACGTCGTTGAGACGTTTCAAAGCGCTTCACACGATATACTGTAACGTGTAGTGACTGTGTGTTTCGTGGGCGAAAATCGATGTCATCAGCGTGAACGTTTCCTGCTTTCCTCGGACATGTGCTCATACGTAGCTAATTTATTCAGTTGTTCAGTTGAACGCATTTCAAAATCACTTGGAGTTTTCAAAACTTCATAATTAGCTCCACCCTTCAAATACATCTGAGGATTTTCGTTTGACCTACTCTCGCTACAATTTTTGTTCCTCGCCGATTTTCTTTCCTCCCTTTCTCCAGATGTGTCAGTACCTTTGTTTTCCTTCTGCTGGGGTACTGTCCCATGTGTGTTGATCATAATCATAATCATAATAATAATCCTTGCATTTGATATAGCGCATCTTCACATCTTCGTGACGTCTCAAAGCGCTTCACAGGATACACTGTAAAGTCAATTGGCTGTATTTTGTGGACAAAATCATTGTGTTCGGTGAATGTCATTCTCTGGAATGTCACCCAATTGGCAACTAGTGTTTAAAAAAAACAACTATCTGAGTTCCTCAGCTAACCTGGACACTCAGGTTAAATGTTGTACCTCTAATAATAATAATAATAATAATCCTTGCATTTGATACAGCGCCTTATCACGCCTTAATGCTGTCCTGATTGAAGTCGGCTAAACGTTGCATAGACTAGAAATTGAACACTGTGATCTTTCCAGTCTGTGACTCAACAAGCTCACTGAATAAATCCACTGAGCCATTGGAGGAGCTTCAGATACATCCATAACACTTGAAAAAAATATAATTAAAATTCTGAGTGGCACGTGAGGGTTTCGCTGCAGAAATAAATGGACAATAATTTCTAAATTTTGGATTCATTTAATTAGAGAACACTGTAAACACAGATGGTTTTATATGTTTGCTTGACTCTATTTGGTGAACTTTCAGATTTCAGTGAACACACGACACTACATTACAATAATTACACGGTCAGCTCCCGTAGGGACAGGCACACAGTGAGGTGTTTTCCCAGGGATAGGGGAAGGCATGTGACTCCGAGCCTGACTTGCACACTCACATTACGTCACCTCCTGCCCCTCTTGCCTGAGGAACGAGGCCACAATGCGGGCAACATGACAACAGGACAGCTGAGAAAAGTACAAAGTGAACGATCCTTGCGATAAACAGCACATCTGTTTGGTATGCTACGTTGTAGGAATCGCATGTGTGGTTCCTAGTTCCGAATGAAAGGGTTAATCAGTCACTGAAAAGAAAAGTAACTGACGACACGAGATGCAGATTGTTTTGGTTTCTCACTGACTTATTCTCTTTGATGTTCCTTTGATTCAGGATTATTCGGACCAAGGTGCAGCAGCCCCCAAATCAACAATCTCCAGTCTCGTCTCATAGCATAGGTGAGTCTCAACACTTCACATCTATGAGAGACAGCTCAGTCCTGTTGCTCAGTGGTTAGAGCCGCTCGCCTTGCAAGCGAAAGGACCTGGGTTCAATTCCCGGGCAGAGCGAAAAGTTGGGCAAAGTTTCCTTACTCCACATGCCTCTGTTTACCCAGCAGTAAGTCGGAACCTGGTTGTTAGTCGATTGGTGGACCGCAATTCCAGGGCTAATAATCCCCTCAAAAAACATAATCATTATAATTTGGTCATTCAATCCAACAACTGTTTGTGGGACACTGCCGTGCGCCATTAGCTGCCACGGTTTGCCCACAAAATATACAGTCACTACGCTTTACAGTATATTCTGTGAAACGCTTTGAGACGTCTCTGTGTAAAGCGCTATATCAAATGCGAGGATCATTGTTATTATAGATACCATGTTGCAGATATTAAATATACCTAATATTTGAGATTATCTGACCACACTTGCGGAGTTCAGAGGTGATTGCGAGTACACGATTTGCGCGGTGATCAGCAGAATTGGCACACTCATTCTGGAAAAGCTGGCAAAAAAAAATCAGGGAGTTTGTTGTTATTTTGAAAATTATTTTACCGTTCCACTTTCACCAAAAACGTCAGGGCTTTAAGGGTGAAAATCAGTAAAACATGATTTTAAAGAATGCTCTTTATCTGAGCTTCTTAGAACTCAGTGCTGGAATGGACAGTGCTATTTCAACGCTCTCAACACATACCCAATCACAATGATATCAGTTGTTATTAGGAACCTCACAATTGCTAGTGTATCCTCCCAACCTGACTGATAATATCCTACCTGTCCTAGGTTTTTAGAAAGAAAATCGCAGTAAATTGCAAGTTATTGGATGCTTGTAAGTGACGCCTTGTTGTTAATGTGTACCTTCTTGTGCACAAAGCTGTGCAGTTGTATTGAAATTGTCATCTGGGCGGTAAAACATAAATTAACATTAGCATCTACCCATCGCCCCTTGTGCTGAGAGGGTAATTTTGGGGGTGCAGAAGGGATAATCATTTCCCCCTCTCATCATGCCCTGGAGCCTCTCTAAAATTCATCTTTAGAGTTTAGCAATTCAGAATCTGCCGCTACAAGTAGTTCTTTTATATTTGAAACTTCCAAACAAAAAGAGTGCGAAATAAGTTGATTCGTTTACCCAGCATTAAGTAGGAACCCGGTTCTTAGTCGATTGGCTGATCTCTTTTACAGGGGTAATAGTCCCGTAAAACAAGTAATAATTTGTTTATTCAATCCACGACTGTTTGTGGGGACGTTGCTGTGCGCAATTGGCTGCCACGTTTCGTCCACAAAATACACAGTCAATTCACTTTACAGTAGTCTGTGAAGTGCTCGGGGACGTCTCGAAGACGTAATAAGGAAGGCGCTACATCAAATGCAAGGATTATTATTATTAGCATGTTCCCTACCTTGTCCATCGTTGATTTGAATACATCCACAGAGGCCATTGTAGTATTCAGCCTCGATCAGATTAGGGTAGATCTAAAGCTTGATGGGTGGATTAACCTCTAATTACTTACTACCTGTTTAAGCAATTACTGAAACGCACGCTGATTGTTATTATGGATACATTTTTCCGTATAACAATTGCCGTTTTTGAACCTCTCACACGGCCTCTGCATTTCTAAGGAATTCAATACCTCAAATGAATTTCACTAATATAACCTGGGTTTTTGAAGTCTGACGAGTATTATGATAAATAGATTTTGCATTGTAATACAAAATTGAAATCTAAAATTTAAAACGGCAGTAGAAAGCCCATAGAATGCGATGTAATTAAAGTAATAAATCAACAAAAGGTACTTATTCATTACATTTTCTGCACCATTAGGCAGTGAGGATTTTTCTAAAGTTTTTTTTTTTCTTTTCTTTTAATTCCCTTTCCTCGGCTTCTCTTTGTGTGGAGATTGTGCCAATGGTGTGCAGTGCACTCTCTGTGACTCAGCTTTTTGGAATGACCAAAAAGTCCCGATACCATTACAATGTCTAATAAGTCTTAAAGAATTGATGATATATTTTTTAGATAATAGGGTAGTTGTCACGACTTTTTGGTCACCCTGTATAATCTTTAGTATCGCAGTAAATGACAGCATTCTGCTTCTGTGTTGCTACCATTGTGAGCACAGCAGTGTTTTAAAACAGCTAAGAACACCTTTTCAGAGGGTTTTCTCCTATACCTCTTGAACTCCACCGTATTTAGTACAGCAGCATTTTTTGCTACAAAAAGTCTCTCCTTCTCTCTGGAAAGTTCTGATTGAGACTGAGGTTAAGATTTTATGGGCATTTATGGGATGAATCCTCCAATAATTCACAATAATAAGAGGCAAGTCCCAATGTTTCAACCTTAATAATAATAATAATAATCCTTGCATTTCATATATCGCCTGATTATGTCGTCAAGACGTCTCGAAGCAATTCACAGGTTATACTGTGAAGTGGTTTTGACTGTGAGTGTCCACAGGTTGCTTGACCATGGCGGGTGTGGGAGCGAAGCATTTTGGCTAAGTCTGAAGGTATCAGCACCTTATCCTCAGACGTGTGTGGTTGTCATCCATGCGTTAAAAACATTGTTGGGGCTTAAGTGGAATTACGGGTGGTACGCATCGGGACCCATTCATGAGGCCATTTGGGTACCATTCATGTGTGTGTGGGGGGGGGGGGGGGGGGGGGGGCTCTGGAAATTTCCAGGTTTCCCGTGTACTCTGCTTGTGCATCTGTTTGAACCGTTGATGTGTCACTCCCCGCAGCACCAAGTACAGTGCCGGTGACCTCCGTCTCCTCGGTTTCCAATGATCCGGCAGGCTCTTCCTACTCCATCAGCGGAATCCTGGGAATCACGGCCTCCAGTGCAGAGAATAACAAGAGAAAACGCGATGAAGGTAAGTGGAATTATTTCAGACTACACAAGACCTTACTGTTGTTGAGCTGTGTGGAGCTCTGGAATTTCAATGAGACGATGACGTTGCTGGTATTAGGTTACAATAAAATGGTCGCATTTAAAACATTGCTTCTTTGTGTTGGTGAGTGTGCAACTTATGGAGTATAATTTGTGTTATAATTATGTTAAACTAGCAACAAATCAGACCGGTTACAAAATGTATGAGTCAATGTGAAAGCTTTGAAATCAAAAACTAATTTGATTAAAAACTAGGATTAAAAAATACAAATCGAAATTACAAAAATTCACAGAAAACTCTAAAAACAAAATAAAGGGAAACCTGTAAATATTAAGTTTTTTCAATTGAGTTTAGACTACTACATTTTCAGGAGGACGTTAAAGACCCCATGGCACTATTCGACAAGAGAAAGGGGTTTCTCCTGGTGTCCTGGCCAATAATCCCCCAATAAAAATTAGTCACTCATTCTATGGCTATTTGTGGGACATTGCTGTCCACAAATTGGTTGTCACATTTTTCCTACAGAATATACAGTCAATCCACTTTACAGTATATCCTCTAAGTGAATGACTGTGTTAAAGTGCAAAAAATATTGTTATTTTGTTTTTGTGGTTTTAAATATATTATTTAATTATAAATATATTCGTTTTTTCCCTTTATTTAGTTTTCCATTTTTTTCCACAATGAAGTTTACATGCAGTTTGAGTATAACCCAAATTATCTTCCGTAGAAAACTTACTGCTATCAATGCTAATTGTACAATGCAGGTCATGACTGCACAGGCTTAAGTTATGTTTTTGAGGGGAGATGGGTGATTCATTGAGGCAGAAAAGAAATATAAAGCTATGGATATTGTGCCATTTAATTGTTTTATCACTGATGCACAATGCTGTACAATTGTTCAGTTCTCCTTTTCTCTGTGTTTTGTCACATTTATTTTAGCTGTGCTCTGTGATGTGTTATGATGCCCAAACTTTTGAAGCGTTTTCAGCTACTCGTGAGAAACTCCACATTCATCTTTACGTTGAGCTGCCAGTCAATTGAAAGACTGTCGGTGGAGTTAATAGGGTGCCAGTGATAGTTAAGCTTATAGGCGTGTTTACTGAATTGCTGAAGATTGGGAGGAGAAAGCTGAAGTGAGGTCAATCCCAAATTCCAATCAGTATTGGAAGGTTCATCCTTCTGTATTGGACTTGATTCTTGTGTTTTTCTAAGGTGTTGCCTTCAATGTTGGCGAGCCCTATAGGATGAGTGCTGATGTGATGAGAATCAAATAACAGATGCCTTTATGTGCTTGCTGCAAGCAGAAACCCACTGAATGCTCTAACCATTGATGGTCGAATGTTCTGGTTACATTTGCAAGATGCTCTTGAAGTGGAGTGAATGTTATTGATCCTTAATCCTTCACTATAGTATATTGAACATAGTTTCTGGATGACATATTAACAATCTACTGTATATTTATAACAAGGACTCACTTCGGCAGGAATTTTGTGCAACGTCCAGTGTTGCAGAAAGAGAATCCAGTGATATCTATACGCAGCTACAGACTATGAATATATAAAGCTGCAAATTGTTAAAATTACTACTTTGAACAAAAGGTTGAAAGGACATTAGTAATTTTGCCATGTGCAAATATTCTTAATATGGGCAGATGTTATGATCTAATAATTTTAGGGGCATTTACTATATTTGTCAATGAATCTAAAAACATCTATAATAGTAGTGTAACTGAATATATGCTGCTGGAAGTTCTTTCCAATCACAACGTCCCATCTCTTTCAACTCACGACTGGATTTCTAGCCAGTTGCTGCTCGTGACACTGAAGTGGCTGTGTAAAGTAAAATGTGTTAATATTGTTAAAAAATCTGTCTCTCAGTGGCCTGAAAGAATACGAGTAAACCAGCACAGCGCATGGAAAGAGTTAAGTGCATTGCTCCTGAGTTGGTTTATTTCTGCATTATGAATATCATGCGTTCCTCTGCCCTGCCTGTCTGTCAGATCAGTGCAGGCTTTGAATGGGATAGGTTAGACCTGGAGACCAAACAGTGATGAAATATGAATAATGTTGGAATCAATCTGAAGGCCAAATGTATTTTATATTTATGAATATTTATAGTGGTAGATTTGCTTGGACATGGCCAGGTTTACATAGAAAATAATGGGAATGAACTTGAGACTCTTGTTCGGTTAAACAAGTTACGTGATTAACTGTAATGCAAATGCATGTAAATGAGAAGAGTTGCAATTTATTATGTTTGGAAATCTGGCTAACCTCCAGGGCAGCTTCGTAAAAGAAAAGCAAACCCACGTTCAGGTAAAATAAAAACAATTAATAGATTAATAGGCATACAAATCAAGGTTTGTGTCATCAAAAAGTTGCTCTTCATTTGGTTTGAGGCTTGTGAGAGTTGCTGAAGATATATGCTCTATAGTTCGATGGGTTATATTTGTTCGGAGGTAGTCATTTCAGAATGGGAATAACAGCCTGCTGAAGTTTGGTGGTTAATGTGCAGTTAATATTACTGATAAGGACATCTTCATGTGTTTGTATGAGTTTGTCCCATGGACTGTGGTAGGATGAAGTAAGACTGTCCTATGCACCTTATGTTAAGACGTTGTTGTGCCTCCAGAGTGTATTGAGAAGAAACTTTATTTTTAAACAAACCTTTAAAAATATTGTTTTTAAATGGAAAACATAGATTTAAGGCAACCTAAAAGCATGTTAAGATTACTGAAGTGTTTCATATCCTAACCATAAAACACTGTAAAGTGTATTTATGGTTGTAGCTGTTAACATATTCTAAAACAGGGTCTCACAATGCTCACCTCCAGTCATTGCTCACAATATCTGTGTTGCTGTAATTGGACATTTTGATGCTAATAGCGAGGCTCACTAAACTCTTGCGTTGTCAGCAATACCATCAACACAAGCAAAAGCTTCTGTTTTACAGTTCAGTAGCACTGGGCTTCCAGTACCCAAATGGGACACTTTCGATTTATTTCATCACCTTTTTTTACGACTAGGTTTCTTTTTTTTTCACAAGTATGTTTCTTATTGACAAATTTACTCGTACGTGCTTCAGCTCGCCAAACGTCTTATCAGAGAAACCTGAAGAATTTAATGAACATTATTATCACCACACTGGAAAGCTTTACATATCAGCAACTAACATTAACAAACAGCGAGTGCAGTCATTTTCAGTGCAGAGTATTGGACGAGCAAGCTGTAATCTAAGTAACTTCAGGGACTTTGGAATTTTTCCCGTATTACTTAATGAGCTCACAGCTCATTAACCAGTGGGTATAAAACTTTCCCTGAGCTTTGTTACATACAAATTATTCAAATGGCAATTTAGAAACTCTTTGAACAGGAGACGATGAAATATAACCTGCACGGCTGACAAAACGATCCTTACAAGCGTGAAAGAAAAACGACTGCGCAGAAGATCCTGACAAAAGTTCAGATGAAAAATCTGCAACTTTGGTGTTAATCAACTCCACGTACCCAAAAATAAATGGACTTAACCCCTTGTCTGTGCTGAGCTGATCTCAATTGGAGGGCAATGACCGATCGCAGCAGTGTAATGGACACAGCCAGACAACAACAGCCACTGCATTCGCAATCCAGTGACCCCCCTGCTGGAAAGTACATGTATGTGGACATTAAGCAAGTGCAGGATCGGTCCTTTGCTGTGATTCCCTTCCTCTCAAACACTGCTGATACCCCACTGTTCAGGCTCATAATTTGTGAGACGCCGAAGGGCCATGCAGCTGAATAAGTCACTGCCTTCGGCAGAAGATGGGAGAAAGGAGGAGAAAATTAAGGGGGGGAAAAAATTCAATTATAGTTTGTACATTTGCATACTATTACGATAGCTATTTACTGTGTACGTTGATGGAGAGATATTTATGTCTGCCTGCCCGCTTGCAGTGGCTGTTAGCACACACCGTGTCCTTGATGTGCGATGACATTCACCAAAGGTTAACAATATCTCATGATATCATTGCTGCAGGGTTTGTAGAGGAATAATATGAGGTCAGGGACAGAGAGTTCAGTCTCCCACATATATTGTTAGTAGCTCTGCATCGGGAATAACAGAGATATAAGACGAGTCCTGGCTAAATTCTGGAATAGGAAGCATACGAAAGCCACATTGATAGACTGTATATCAGTTCCAGTGTGGAGTGATCTGATGTTTAATATTCAGCACTGACTTGTGTTCAGCCACTATTACTTGAATCTGCATCTATTGTTAAGTGAATTAGTGAAGGAATTCAGGTATGAGTTTCAGACCAGCTGTGGTCTTACTTCTAATAATATATAATAATAATCCTTGCATTTGATATATCGCCTCATCATATGTTCGAGACATCTCAAAGTGCTTCACAGAGTATACTACAGAGTGAATTGACTGTATACTTTGTGGGCAAAAACTTGTCCTTGTTACTCTTTTGTTGGTACTGTCATCTGGACAACAATTACAATTTGCACTTATATAGACAGTTGCATTCATACTTATATTCATTTAGGGAGAACGTCTCAAATTACTTACGGAAACTGAGTGGGAGCCCAAACTGGGAGTCAACAGGAAGACTGTGGGCAAAGTTGTCATAATGATAATGATAATAATAATTGTTGCATTTGATATAGTGCCTTATTGTGTCATTGAGACGTCTCAAAGAGCCTTCACAGAATATACTGTAAAGTGGATTGACTGTGCATAGCAGTGTCCCACAAACAGTCGTGGATTGAGTGACCAAATTATTATTATTCTCATTTATTTTAAGCGATCATTCCCCCAGAAAGCGATCCGCCAATTGACTAACAACCGGGTTCCTACTTAATGCTAGGTAAACAGAGCCGAATGGAGTAAGGAAACTTGCCCAAGGTTTCGTAGTCAAAGAGAAAGGTTTTTAGAAGGGTTTTCAAAGCTGAGAGGGAGAGGGATTTGGGAAGAGGATTTTGGGGGTGTGGGCC